TGGGCATTTTTTAGTCACCTTAACTTCATTCTGTATTTCATGTCACACCATATGATTTTTAATCTCAATCCACAAATGCCAATGCCCTCAGTTCCAGCAGATGATTATGTTGCATTGGATTCTTCTCTGCCTCTTAACTTCTCTTCACTCACAAATGAGATGCTGATGTCCACCCCAACCCAAAGCACCTTACCTTGCTTTTTCTGCCAAGAAATTATAGCTCCTTGGTTCCAGGTGTTCAGGATTTTGTTTTCCACCAAGGTATCCTCCCTCAGCCATGCTCCCCATTGGTTTGATCTCCCATAAAGGGGTAAACAAGCCTGGAATCCAGTTATAACGGGGCACTAGTGTAGAACATAGAGGTGATAAGCAGATGAAGAAGGCTCAGAAACTGACCACAAGGGCCACACAATCTGTCCTAGTTCCTTGTGTCACCATTGTGCCTCTGCTCTTCTGGGTATGTGGTCTGAGTGAGGAAGCCTTGTAGTGTTTGCTGGACAGACAGCCAACTTAACTGAATTTCCTTAAGAAGCCAGGAATGATCTGCCCTGTCCAGATGGTAACTGAGTGGAAGTGAAGCTCAGCCCCTCCTCCTGTTCCCTTCTTTACCCACTCCCTGCTTGCTTTGCTTCCTTCCCAAGGGGTCTTGTTAGGACCCTCAGCACTTAGGATAGAAAGATGAATGAAACGCCCCTCAGCCATTTAGTAAGATGTGATTTCCTAGGTGAGTACTGACACCCTGGAGCTATGAGAAAGTTGAGGGTTATAAGGCTGTAACAGAGACATAAACCATGCCTGGATGGAGAAGCAGAAGGTAAGTTCAGTTTTGCCTAAGGGGACAGGAAAGGTGACCCACCTTTCAAGGCAAAGTTGAACTCTGCTTAGAACCCACATGCACTGCTGTTGCTCAGGGCTACCCCGAAGCTGATCACACATTCTCAGCCTGGCCACTAAATATAACTGTACTGCAGCTGACTGATTTAACTCCTGAATAAAGAAAGAGGGGGGAAGGAATAAATGGGGTTAAAAAGCAACACAGGGGCAGCAACGTAGTGCTCCTATTCCTCAAAACAGAGAATTTCTAACCATTGTCCATTCTTTTTCCTTTTGAAGACATCTGAACCCCTGCAACACTGGGTAATTTCCCCGTGTTTTAAAGCTAGACTTGGCAGGGTTGGATGAGACTCATGTCACCTTACTTTCTGACAAAAGATCTTTCTGCTGCTGTCCTTCACTCTCTAACATAGAAGACAAGGTATGGAGGACAGGGAGAGAGAAGTAGAAGGAAAATAGAAAAGAAAGAAAAGGTGGGAAGCAGGGAGGAAAAAGTGGACCACAGAAATTTCCTGCATTGGTAAGAGATGAATGACAAATTCCTCCTGTGGCGGCAAAGTCCTCTCTATTTAGTTGCTGGGCATGGGGAGGTATTATTGTAAGGGGTTATTGTTGTAAGAGGGTAATGCCTTAAGGGGGTATTGTTGTATGGGGGTATTATTCTAAATGGGGATATTGCTGTAAGTGAGTATTGTTGTAAGGGAGTATTGCTGTAAGTGGTTATCATTGTAAGGGGATATTTTTGTAAATGAGTATTGCTGTAAGGGGGTTTTATTCTAAGTGGTTATTGCTATAAGGCGGTATTGCTGTGAGTATTGCTGTAAAGGGGGTATTGTTGTAAGGGCATAGTGGTGTAAGGAGGTATTGTTGTAAGGGTGTATTGCTGTAAGGGGGTATTTTCATAAGGGGATATTGTTGAGGGGGTATTGTTGAAGGCGAGGTATTGCTGTAAGAGCGTATTGGTATGGGGGTGGGGGTGGTTGCTGTGACAGACCTGACCATGGTGTTTTGGAGAGAATTGTGGAAGGACCTTTGGATTTTGGGCTGGAAAAGCTATTGAATGCTTAGAGACCAACGAGATGTTCTTTGAAAGCTTGGAAGATTAAGAATGCTCGGAGAAATGCAGATGGTGGAGGTCAGGTTTGTGAAGTTTTAGAGGAAAGTTTAAAGACTCTCTTCAAATAGTTTGCTATTTTTAAATAAGAATCTGCGGTTCTGGTCAGCTGGGGCTGAAAAGTCAGTCATAATTAACAAGAGACCAGTACCACTGAAGTGAAACCTTTGCTTTACTGGAACGATTGATGCTAATCATCTGGAGCTAAGAAATAAACAGTGTTTAAGAGATCAGCACCACTGAAACAAAATCTTCTGGCAAGTCTTTCCTCAGAGTCAGGACAGAACCTCTGCTGTGATCCAGAGGCAGCCAAGGCTGCTCCTCATGCTGTCAAACTTGGTAGTGTAAGAGTCACCCAGGCACTGCAGAATGCAAAAGTGTGAACGGGCCATAGAGAGTAGCTGGGTCCAGGAGAAGCCACTGGTGAAGGTGCAGCCTCACTTGCAGTCAAAGCCTCAGGAATGAGGGGTTACAAAGAGAAGTTGAAGCGTGACACAAGTAGCATGTTTAGAGCCCCTGAAGAAAGCCCAGGACAGACTATTAGTGAAGGTATAGCCCAGTTGTAGTAGAGACTTTGGCATGTTGGAGATGCCAGTATCATGGGACAACCAGCAAGGGCAGCAGCAGATGTAGAATGGAGCCAGCCTGAACCTGAGAGACAAGTTGTGTGTGCTGTGAATGTCTGCCCAAGCCCTTTGAAGGAGCCCAGAAGACTGCTAAAGAGTCCCAGAAGTCTGACACTGACTTTACACTGTTGGAATTTAGCTTTGCTTTGCTCAGATTGTAACTGTGCCCCCTTTCTTCCCTCTTGGAATAAGAATGCATTTAACTTATTTGGTTTTTATAGAAACCCACAGTTGAGAGATTTTTATTTTTAAAGAGATTTTAGAGTTTTATAGAGCCTAGATTTCAAGAGAGACTTTGGATTCTAAAAGGAATCAGTTATTTTAAAAAGACTGAATTTTTTTAAAGTATTTGAATTTGTGAAGACTACATAATTTTCAGTTATTTATGTTTTATATTGAAATGTTAATATTAACATCCCATCTTGGGGACAAAGGAGAAAAGAAAGGTTACATACAAAAAGTGATGTGCTTGTATGTCAACCTGACAAGTGATTAATTATCCTGGTTGGTTTTTATTTCAAATTGACATAAGCTTGAGTCATCCCAGTGGAGGGAAATTCAATTGAGAAAATGCCTCCATAAGATCAGTGGTGGGGGAGTCTTTCTCTACACTGCCACGAATATATATTGCTCTGATTGGTTGATAAATAAAGTTGTTTGGCCTATGGCAAGGCAGCTTAGAGGCAGGCAGGAAATTCAAAGGGAGAGACAGAAAGAAGGCGGAAGGAGAGGCCAGCAAGCTGCCCAAGGAGCAACATGTAATGGGACGCAGGTAAAGCCATGGAACATGTGGTTATACATAGATTAATAGTTATGGGCTAATTTAAGATATAAGAGCTGGCTAGCAAAAGGCTTGAGCCATGGCCTTGCAGTTATAATTAATATAAGCCTCTTTGTGTTTACTTGGGGGGGCATGAGTGGAAGGATTTGTCCCAATTACAGGCAGGCCGGAACACAGGCAATCTTCTGACTAAAGATCAGCTTGTAAGCAAGCCTGAATGCCATTTTTATAATTGGTAACTGCTGTAGGGGAGCAGCCCATTGTGGATGGTGCCACCCCTGGGCTATTGGTCTTGGGTGCAATAAGAGAGAAGACTAAGCAAGCCATGAAGAGCAAGCTATCCAGCAGCACTCCTCTAGAGCCTCTACACCAGCTCCTGACTCCAGGTTCCTGCCTTGTTTGAGTTCCTTCCCTAACTGCTTTCAATGATGAATTGCTATGTGGAGATGAGAGTGAAGTAAACCCTTTCCTCCCCAAGCTGCTTTTGGTCACAGTGTTTCATCACAGCAATAGACACCCTAACTAAGACATTGGACTAATCAAGCTGTCTGGATAATGTCCTTATTCACCAAGGAAGGGGGTTCCTCTGGAATTGTGTTCTCCCTTCATTTTATCTGCCCTGTTGCACTACTTCAGAATATCTGATGGAAAAGCCCAGTTTGGACACATGGTAGAATAACCAGTCTTTGCTTGTCAAGCCTCTTCTTGAAAGCTTAAATATTCATATTAATATCTCTACATTATGATCAGGAAGTTGGGACAAGTCACAAGTCCCTCCAGAGTCAAAGGGACTTCAGACCAATGCAAGACAAACAAAATTTCCTCATTGGGATCAAGGTGAGGCAAATAAAACATCTTCATTCCTTCAGTTGAACCCCTGGTTTTTCCATTGTGCCTCTTCACTCATATTATTACATAGTCCTAGAAAGTGTATGCATGTGGAGTTCCCACCTGTAACCAAATTGAGGGGGGGGTGACGGGGGAACTCTTGGTAAAACAGAGCACTTGGGCTATTTCATGAGTAGAGCAATTAGCAATAACAGCCTTGATTCTAGCAAGCATTTGATGCTGTCTCTGGGTACTCCATAGAGGACTTCCCTCTTTAGAAGTGGTCACATCTCCAGCCCATTCTCATGGTAGCCTTTGCTGGTGTTTGTATTAGAGGCATCATACAGCCCCGGAAGTTATGAGTACCAGAGATGGAGCAGGGAATCACTGTAGGTAAGGCAGCAGCCTGCAGGCAAAGACAGCTATTCTTTGCCCTGAAGGGGACAAGGGCGTTGGCTGCAGCAGAAGTAGGAAGCATGAGATCATCCTGAGCCTGGAGACCCCCTACATTTTTGTCAGTGTGCATGGTTTGTTCTCTTGTGGAGGCTCTCCCAGGGAATTTCCAGGCCCTGTTCTTTCCGGTCCCCCATTTAAACCTCGGTTGATCATCTACATAGAGTTAAGGGGGAAAATTCATCCTGTGGCAGTCCTCGCTCCCAGCAAAGGGCTTGACCTTGTGAAGTTGTTGGTCGCTGTCTGAGCAACCTGGGCATGGCGAGTAACCACTGTCCAGGAAATGGATATTTCTTTAAACACCCGACTTCAGAGAGAAATTTGAGCAGACACCGCTGGCTTTTATTCCTTTATCCAAGAAAAGCAGCAGATTCTGTGTTCAAGACCAGAGTGGAGCTAACAGACTTGCTTCCCACTCCAGCATTCGAACAAGTCAACAGCAGCAACAGCAGCAGGCTTTGCCACTTTCCTACTCTACCTCATCTCTACCTCTGGGTTTCCGAATTTGTAAAGGTGGAACAAATCTCCCAACAGTCTATGTTAACACATCCTCGGGATCCCAAACTCAACAGTTTGGTTTACGTTTCCAACAGCAGCAAAAGCAATCTGTCCACAGAGAGCAAAGCCAGAGGGGGCCCATTAGGGGAAAGGGTTTTGAAGAAAAGAATAAACAGAAGGAAGAAAAGCCCAGATGAAAGGTCCAGAGGAGAGTGAGTGACAAGAAAGGAAGCTTGAGAGCGGCTGACAGGTGGGCTGAGCGGTGGTGGTGACGGCCGCGCGTGTGGCGGCGGGGGGCCCTCCCACCCACCAAGGGCAGCGCAGGCCTCGGCGGCGACGCCTCGCAAGCGTGGGCAGCGGAGGAGGGAGCGGGGTGCGAGCCCCGCGCCAGGCAGCTGCGACAGGAGGCAGGCGGCGGGCGCGCGGTCTCCCAGCCAGCCTGCTTCCCATTGGCCCCCGGGAAGCGCTCGGAGCTGTTCTTCTCTTCCTGGACGCAGCGGCTGTCCACCGGTTCCCGCGAGTCAGTTTGGAGAAATTCCTTGCCTACCTAGCTGGGAGAGCTAGGCTGGGCTTCGGCGGCCCTCTAGGGCGCTCTTCGTGCTGGAGACTCGGGGACGAGAGCCGGGGATGAGCGGCGGAAGGCGGCGCCGGCCCTGACAGGACTCCCGGCCAAGGCTACCCGCCACCGGCTGGGGATGAGCAAGCTGGGTCAGATGCCTTAGCCGGGTGCACGCGCCGGGCGGAGCGCGCAGGTCGGACTGTGCTCTCGGCGGTCCGCCCTGCGTTGGTGCCTGGCCAGTCCCAGGATGGGCACTGGAGCCCCCGGGGCCGCGCCCGCTAGAGCCCGGCGTCCCTTCCACGTCCTGAGCTCATGTATGTAGGTGCCAGTCCGCCGGGGTGAGGGTGCATGTTAGAGGTCCACGCCGCGGGCACCGGGACACCTCCGGAAACTATTCAATGGCCCAGCCAGCCGCTGGGGAGGACCCTGCCTGCCTCCCAAGTTTTAAATATGGGCGATTAACCCTGGGCTGAGGTCCACTGGGGTTGGCGGTGAGCCAGGGGCCAGCATGATTGGAGTCCTAATAGAGAAGGCTGAGGCAGAGGGCAGACGCACTGGTGTGCACCAAGAGGGAGGGTGGGTGCTTGGACGAGACAAATAGAGACTGGCATGTCTCTGCCCAGCGGTGTCTGGGGCTCTAGGCTCCTTTGGGCAACAGAAACTTTGAGATCCGCAAAGGCTGGAAGACACCCTTCAAGGAGATAGTCCTATACCCCTGCACCTCCCACCTTCCCTCTCGGTCCTCCCTGGACAGGCAACGCTTCACCATCACCAAGACCCCTCCGGGTTAAAAGCTATTCCAAGACAGCGCTGTTGCCGGTGACAGCGGCTCACGTCACCCTCCAAACCGCCTAGTGAAGAGCCCGGTACAGAAAGGGGGGGGGGGGGTAACAGCAAAGGAGCAAAGCCTCGGGAAACCCGGACCCGGTCGACCAGGCAGAGGCCAGGTAGTGCCCAGGTTAGAGAACGGAGGGGACATGTGTTCCCTAGACAGGAGGTATCTAAGAAGTTACAAATGCCTCGTGGGGTCTTCGGAGTAGCAGTGGGTTTTTCTTTGTTTGTTTGTTTGTTTGTTTGTTTGTTTTCCCCAGTTCTTCCCCAGCTCCCTTTCCATGCACAAACCCCTTAAGGCAAGAGAGGAAGGGTTTCTCTTTAATCTGTGCGCCCGTTTGTCGGTCTCCAACTCCACTGCGGAATTCTCCTTTTAGTAACCTGCGGGAAATGCGGCCAAGACTTAGTGAGGGCCAGCCCAGGTGCCGGAATTTGAGCTTTGGGTGCAAGCCTTGCAGCCGGCACCCGCCCGACTTGCTGCATTTTCTGGGCTCCGCAACCTCCCGGTGACCATCTCCAGCACTAATCTCCACTGCAGGAGACTCCGCGGCCGGTGTTTTTCTTGGACTCTGCTTGCTACATATTCCTGCACATGTGTGATGTCTGAGAAGCCCGTTGTGTACAGACACTGGGCAAGCTGCCCCCGCCCCCGGCGTCCAGCTCGTTAATCTAGAGCGATGCGGGAGCCCGGGCGGCGCCGGGCCGGGTGGGGGCCACGGCGGGGCCGAGGTGGTGCGCGCGGGCCACGGAGCTCAGTTGTGCTGCTGTTCTCTCCACAGGGACGGCGACTCCCGGCTGGCAGCGGCGCGCCCCCGGGCTGTGAATGCGACTCGCTCATCGTCCGCGCTCCCCGCCCGCCCGCCCGCCGGGACGTGGTAGGGGATGCCTAGCTCCTCTGCGATGGCAGTTGGCGCGCTCTCCAGTTCCCTCCTGGTCACCTGCTGCCTGATGGTGGCTCTGTGCAGTCCGAGCATCCCGCTGGAGAAGCTGGCCCAAGCTCCTGAGCAACCCGGCCAGGAGAAACGCGAGCACGCGTCTCGGGACAGCCCCGGGCGGGTGAGCGAGCTCGGGCGCGCCGCGAGGGACGAGGGCAGCAGTGCCCGGGACTGGAAGAGTAAGGGCAGCCGCGCGCTCGCGAGCCGGGAGGCGTGGAGCAAGCAGAAGCAGGCCTGGACTGCCCAGGGCGGGAGTGTCAAGGCCGCGGACTGGCAGGTCCGACCTCGGGGGGACACCCCGCAGGAAGAGTCCCCGGCCGCCGCCCAGGAAGCGATCAGCCTAGAACTCGTGCCCACACCAGAGCTGCCTGAGGAATACGCTTACCCAGACTACCGCGGCAAGGGCTGCGTGGATGAGAGTGGCTTCGTGTATGCGATCGGGGAGAAGTTCGCCCCAGGTCCCTCAGCCTGCCCGTGTCTGTGTACGGAGGAGGGGCCCCTGTGCGCACAGCCAGAGTGCCCGCGGCTTCACCCGCGCTGCATCCACGTCGACACTAGCCAGTGCTGTCCGCAGTGCAAGGAGAGGAAGAACTACTGCGAGTTCCGGGGCAAGACCTACCAGACTTTGGAGGAGTTCGTGGTAAGAGGCAAGCGCCTGCCGGCGACCTGGCACCTTCCAGGAAGGGATGGAATGGCTTTGGTTCTGTGACACTTCCCCCCCCCCCCCCCACACACACTTTGAAGGGAAGGCTCTCTCTGGTTCTCTGAGGTGGGGAGCGTGGTTTGGGCACCCTTTTTTTAACATACCCTCTTTTCAGTGCTGGGGTAGTCCTTTTAAGACCAGTGTGGCCAGTCCGTATTGATTGATCTGGTATTTGCTGTAAAGAGGTTTCATTAGACAGAAGCCTTGGCACTAAGGGAACAGCTGCAGGCTGTTGGCTGTGCTTTCAACACGAATTCATTGCTTCTAATTTAGAAGTGAAGTGCTCAACCTGTTTTCAAACACAGTGTAATTTACCCTGCCACTTGGGACATAGTCTTTAGTAATTGCCTAATTAAGAAAGACCACTTATATACATAAGCCATTCCCCAGATCTGGTGGTCAGACTAACAAGTACATGTCCTAAATATCAAAAAAAAAAAAAAAAAAAAAAATCTTACCAGTTGACAAAACATGGTGGAAAGCAACACCGAGAAGCCCAGTTTCTGGTTAAAAGAGTTTTAATCTAAGAGGAATACAAGGAATTCTATTTCTCTTGATCCTCTGTATTGGGTTCCAGGCTCAGGTTCTCACGTGCCGTGATTTAGTGGGACTATGTATCCGGCTAGAGGATAGGTTATTTATCTCTGTTACATGAAAAAGAAGAAACTGAGACAGAGAATATTTAAATCATGAGCTGGTGGCAGGGAAGCTCACAACCGAGCAAATTCTTGTACCAAAATTAGCAATTCTACTCTCTAGCGTATGCTTCCAGCCTTGGGCTCCACTTGAACTCCAGCCCGGGCCTCCTGGGACTTAGGTTTGCATTAAGATTATGCCATGCTTGCATGTGCTGGGTGTGATGCAAGGTGCAATGTCTGCCTCTGGGTTAGGAACCTTTGGAATGTACTTGTCTGCATCTGCAAACACCCCAACGTGGCTTCCGCTTACAGTTAGTGGGGCCCTGGCCCTTGACATAACATGCCAAAGGTATTTCCCCCCTGCCAGCAGAGGGCATCCTGAAGCTGCAAATCCTAAAGCAGAGGTTGGAAGACAGGAAGGAAGCCTTTTGGAATTGGGAATCCCCTGTAAATTTGTGGACTCCTAGACTCCGTGGGTGAAAGGTACCTTAGTGAGTGGAGTGGATTCCAGCATGGGGAGCACAGTGAAGTGCAAAGCCAGGAAGAACTGATCTACAGATAGTGTGTAAACTGTGGAAACCAGCTTTGCGATTTAGTCAGGAAACATGGGTTTCCATTTGGACTTGGCTGCTGCTCAAGTGCATGACTAAAACAAGGCATGCACGTGCCCCATTTGGATTTTATTTTTGTTCTCTGTGAGATGAGGGATCTACTATCCTCAAGGCTCACAGCCAGGGTATAGCTTCAGATGTACCACATTCTTTGGCTTCGGCCCTTTGGAGAAAGAACTTTGATGAAAATTCCATAGGACCCAAACTCAGGAGATACGTTAGAGTCAAGAACACTATCCTCAAAAATGCCTCCTGTGCACCCGGGATGCTGCCAGACAGCTCTCCAGACGTTTTGGATTCCCAGCACAATTCTCTTAAGTGGTTTGGGTTCATAAGATAATCAGGGTCTTATAAAATTGAAAACAAACAGTTGTTTCTAAATTAATAACATTTGTTGCTTGTTCTGTTTATAGAGTTCCAAGGCACTTTAGAAGAGCTTTGTGAGGTGAGCTGAGGAATTATTTTACTATAAAATAGAGAGCTGAAACACTTCCCAGAGGAGCCATCCCTGCACCTGAAATCACAGATACAGGAGAACTCAAACTTCTGTTTTCATAATTCATTGCCAAGTACTAGAAACAAGGGAGCTGTCTTTTCCTTTTAGGGGAAGGCAAACTCTTGTTTGATTTCTACCTGCAAAAACTGGTATTGGATAGAGAGGATGTGTTTTCAAGTTCTGGGGGAGGGGAAATAGTGACAGAAGAAACAGGAAGTGTTAGAGTATTCACATCTTCCTTCTTTAAATGACTTTTCATACTCTTTGTCTCTCTCTGTCTCTCTGTCTCTGTCTCTCTCTGTCTCTCTGTCTCTGTCTCTGTCTCTCTTTCTCTGTGTATGTATGTGTGTGTGTGTATGTGTGTGTGTGTGTGTGTGTGTGTGTGTGTGTGTGTGTGTGTGTATACATACATGCATAGACCCAGAGGTCAATGTGTAGTGTCTTCCTCAGTTTCCAAGTTGCTATTGAGAAAGGATCTCTCACTGACCCTGAAGCTTACTGATTTAGTTAGACGGGTTGGCCACCTCTAGAGACCCTCTGACTCCATCCTTCCCCTCTGCCCAAAGCATGAGGGTTACCAAGGTATGCCACAGCACCAGGCTTTTATGTGGGTGCTGGGAATCCAAACTCTCGTCCTCTTACTTGCACAGCAAACTGACTGAGCCATCTCCAGGCTGACTTTTCACTCTTAACATTCAGTCAGTCTTTACACATGCTAGGGTGTCACATGTTGGGATATTGCTAAGTGTCATAGTTTTAACTTACGACATTTCTCTTATGTCATTTTATTCTATGATGCCGTGCTTGTTCCTTACTATTGGTATCAAGTAAATTTCTAGTCATTTATCTTATTTGGTATGGCTAAGAGAAGTCATTTGTGCCTGTGGCTGTTGTTTTTCAACATTGCACAAGGACCTACCACTTAGGTGGGGGATCCTGCAAAGGATCAGTATAGAAGAGTGCAGTCAGCTTCTGGTCCACGGAGTTTGTGGATAGCAGTGATGGATATTTACTTTGCAAATGTTCACGTACTTGCTCTGAGTATTCAGAGAGAGATGTTATCTGTCCATCAGTCTGTTTTATGATATAGTAGACTAATATTCAGAACTGTGAGCTAGAGATAGTTATGGAGAGAAAGACTTCCTTTCCTGAAGAGATACAGAGCCCCGCAACAGGCTGGTCTCTCCTTCCTGACTGAGGAAATTGCTAGCCCTGCCTAGTGAATATTTGAAGTGAGCAGCAGATGAAACTCCAGGGTTGCCAGCTGCCAGCAGGTGCCTGTGATGTGTGGGGCATTTGCCTCCTAAGCCATCAGCGTCTCCTTGGTTCCTATGCTTCCCTTTCTTGGGCACATGTTACCCACCCCTTCTACAGAATTTCACCCCTGCCTTTATCTTCTTTCTGGATACTTTAACCCTTATCAAAACCCCTGCTATTTATGGCTACATATCTGTAGAAGACTTTAATAGTCAACAAAATACCACAAAGGTGATAGTAGTGACAAGGATGGTGGCCTCACTCCTCCAGGTATCTGTAATCTCGTTTGTATTCCTTAATGGGTCGGGGGGCAGTTAGTAGTAGAATGTTTTCCACTGACTCTTGATTATATATCAAGAGTCTTATTCTTTTATGGCAGCAGCAGATATCCAAGATTAGAACAAGTTCCATCTGCTTTGTGCTTCCTAGGAATATTAGTTGGCTAGGGTTGCCATAATAAGTACCAAATTAAAAACAAAACAAAAAATGAAAAAGAAAAAAAAAACATGGTGCCTTAAGACATAGAAATGCATTGCCTCATGGTCTTGAAGGCTAGAAGTTGGAGAGCAGGGCATGCACAGGAGTGATTCCATTTAGCTTGTCCTCTCTGTGTCTTTACTGCTCTTTCTTCTGGACAGTGATGCTCAAAGTTTTCTTTCCTTCTTTCTTAATGGCCATGCTTGTTGTTGTAGGGGTTGAATCAGTGGTTTTCCACATGATAGACAAACACCCTAAGCCAAACCCCCAGCCCCAAATTTCTTGCCAAGACACCAGTACTGTTCGATTGTCATTCCAATGACCTCATTTTGACTCAGTTTCCTCTCTCAAAGGCTAGATCTCCATATTCAGTCAAATTATTAGGTATAATGGTTGGGACTTGACCATAAAATCAGGATACAGTTTGGTCTGGAGCACAGAGTGCCAATGACCAGAGTTGACCTTGTGGCAATGAGACTAAGAGACAAACAGGACAACTGGAGTAAAGAGGGACATATTTACATAAAGAAAGGAAGAAAGTGTTTATGAAGAAGACACAGGGAAAGATAATAATAACTCCAGGTCCAATAACATCAGCTTAACCCATGTAATTATGTCAGTTCCATTGTGTGAGTGCCACTTTTGGGGTTTTTATGTTGCTTCTGCGGCTGCACTCTCAAGTCACAGATAGCTAGAAGGTGACTCTGCTGCTCTGTTGAGTTTTAAACCTGTTCCCCATAATGATTAGCATTTAGTGAAGAACCCAACTGAGTTTGAAATCCATTAACAAGAAATAATTTTATTTGGATCTATACAAAATTGTTCCCATTGTGGGAACTCTAGTTCGGGGGGACTCATGAAGGTCTCAATGGGAATCTGTAGTCATATTCAGTGTTTTATTCAAGCTGGTGGAACTCATGGGGCTCTCTGAAGTAAAACTGTATTGGATAGCTAACACTTCATGTTACTTTGCTTCTGGTTGGATAGTATCAGTTCAAGGTGTCAGCACTGTTATCACAGCAATCAGAAGCTCAACTGGCAATCACTGTGTCTTTGGAAAAGAAAGTATGAATTATTAGTAGAAATTGCTTGATGGACTGCCTGTCAGTGCTCAAGAACTGTGGAGAAGAAAAGAACTGTGGGGTTTCTGCAAGCAAATTGGATGGGGGCTACTGACTTAAAGCAAGCTCGCTCTCTCTCTCTCTCTCTCTCTCTCTCTCTCTCTCTCTCTCTCTGAATAATTGTCTGGCTTGCTATTAACTGTATCACAAAATTCTCATTTCTAGAATTTCATCAATGAGAAGAATATTTTTACATGAAAATTGGAACCAAAACTTCTGTCTAAATAGATGTCTGTTGCAATTTTGGATAAGTGCCAGTAAAACAAAATCAATCATATCTTCAGTCTAATGGTATTTATATTCTTTTGGCTGATAATGCTTAGCCAAAAACAATGCT